TGCGCATCTCTGTGTACACAGTGATCTCTCTATTTCCTTTGTTGTGTGCAGTCCTTAAAGGCTGGGATTTATGAAATACAACCGATGTAATACTTTTCAATTACAAATATTTTCGGTGACGGTCACCTCAGCTAGACACCATATATCAGAAACCATTATTTTGGTGGTTTCGAATTTATAAGTTATAAAATTTAATCTTTTGCTTTTGTTGCTATTTTAAAAAGGAAAGTCGTGTTTTTCATTTACTTTCAAAGTGTTTGTATTCGAATTCCAATTAGGCAACTCATATTCTTTTGAGGTATTAAAAAACCATTCCGTTAAATGTCACAAACATGAGTTCTAATGAAATACTAAGATAAAATACTTTACCTGTTCTAAATCAAGTAAAAACTTATAATTTGAAAATTCCAGTCGCAATCACTATCAATTCGTAAATTGTACTTATAAACTTATTACCAGAATTTAATACATTAAAGTTACAATTTTTGATCATTCAAAAGAACCAGAAATGTTCATTATTGATGAATCTTTTATCAAACTTCCAGTAAAAGATAGAAACAAATTCAAAAAATTATGCCTGAAAAGAAAATTAGTAATTTCGAACAACGATATATTCTTGTCGATGTTTGCCGTAATGTGGAACACATGAAAGTCGCCTGTCAAGCTTAACTGAATATTAATTGTTTTACAATTTATTGCCTTGAAGATTACTCATGATTTTATGTTTCGATAGCAGACGATGAAATAATTAAAAAGTTCAATAAATATATTGGATGACAAAAATAATTATTGAATTATACAATTAATTCTTTTAATTAATCATATTTATGTCACATGGAAATAATTATTTATAGAAATGGTAGAGTATATGTCTCTAATAACAACAATAAAATTCTGACATGTCTTCTTTGAATCATTACACAGCCGTTTCACATCCGATTGAAAATCCTTTTGCGTTTGCATAATCTTGCGAGTGTCCTCTTTCAAATGGTATATGAACCATCCTCCGATGAAATGTTGTGCAGGAGAAATCAGCGGTCTACGAAAACCACCTGCATCTGTTGTTATTAGGGACCAGATCCCTAATAGCAACACTATAAGAAAGATCAACGGAGAAACTTTATTTTTGAGAAAACGCAATTTCTTCACGGTTTTCACTAGAAAAACCAGCATAGATGCAGCTGGCATTTTTGTACAACATTTCAAACTCTATCCAAATCCAAAGGCTCAGATAAAACAAATTTCGATTTAAAAAGATAGGAAGCCTAAACAAAATAGGTCTAACATTGACATAAAAATAGGTGACCGTAAAACGACACTGCCATTTCTTGTCCCTAATAACTAGGGCGAGAGTATGGGTGCGCGTAGTGAATGAAAAGACATCATACACGCACAGGCAGCCATACCCACCGAAACATTACTTCCTATACCCACACTCTCATTCACATCCACACCCACACCCTAAATTTCTCTCTTTTATGGTTTAAATAGTTTGATGACTTTTTTTTCTAAAGTCTTGCACGAAAGTTTCGAAAAGTTGTCCACAGTTTTCTAGTATAGGATACAAAAAAAGTAAAATATTCTCAAAAGTTCTAATCGTCATTGTCTGATTCGAATTGTGGTGGTAAAAGATCATCGGAGAGATAGGATGATGATGAACGATTCTTTTCCACGTATTTTTTGCCATTGAAACGAACATAGATCTCAGTAGATTTGTCTTGGTTGGGCATTTCATACACATGAAAATCATTTATTACCGTTTTAAGATAATTTCTAACAGCTTCTAACAATCGAGAGTCAATTTCACGCTTCCAATTCTTTGTCTCTTTGTATTTTCGACCGAATTGATTGACTTCCGAATGTGTTCCTCGGCCAGGAATAAATTTGTATGAATTTAGTTCATTCTTTTTTGCTGTCGACAAAGTCTGTTTCACTTTGTTAAGAGCAAGTTCAATCGATTGATAACCATGTAAATCCACATCTTTGATGTGAGAATCAATGATCCATGATGGTCGATAGTCCTTTGCCATTCTTCCGTTGAAAGTCTAAATAACAACAAGGCTTCATCATTATCTTTTTCAAAATGAGATAAAATGTCTTGTCCATCGACAAAAATTCTGCTTCTTATTCAGCGACAAATAAGTGAAAATAGAAGGAGTATGATGAGAATAAAAGCATGTCGAAAAGCAAATGCAATACAATCTTCACCTATGTGCACGATTTCATTTTATTTGTCTTTCTTTTATGGTAGAAAAAAAAGGTGAAATCAGATGCATTCTGTTCAAATAACAGACTGAGACAACAATACACTATTAGATTAAGTTCTCTTTTTGAGTTGTTCATCTATAAACTATACCCTAGAAGACATAGAAGAAATGCAAAAGGAGTCGAATTCTGGTTGACTCTTAACAAAGCACTTATGAGGCCATCGGAGAATTGAAGGGTGTCGGTGTCGGTGTGCATGTGTGTGTATGTGGAGAGTAGGTACGGGTGTGTATATGGGTGTGAGTTCGGCGTCTGGGTGTTGTTGAAATGGGATGGACATGAACTGGGTGGGTCCCGACTCAATTATACTTCTACATTCGCTCCTGCACCCACAAACACTCATACGCACACCCGCATCCCACCTCACACCGAGGGGCACACGTCCGCGCAAACTTGCATATCCACACCCACACCTAGATCCGCAGCCAGAGCTACACCGGCACTCACACTTTGTTTAAAAGACCCGCGTTACAAAAAAACAATTTGATCTTCTTTGGGGTGTGGGTGTGGATGGGTGTGGTGTGGGTATGGATGTGGGGGTGGATGTGGGTGTGAATGGGGTGTGGATGCGTGTGGGTTTGGGTGAATAAAGACAAGGTGAATCCACACCTTACATCCACACCCACCCACCCACATCCACACCTCACACGCACACCCACACACCTACACCTCACATCCACACCCACACCCACACCCACACCCATACCCCACACCCCACACCCACACCCGCCCCACACTCACACCCACCCTCGATAATGAAAACAATTTTTGAATTATATCGATTACATTTTCAGTAGTAATAATTGCTTATAATCAAATGTGAATTACATAACTATCGTACAAGATTTTCAGTAGAAATATTATTAATTTTTTATGCTTAGTAATCTCTGTCGCTTCAGATGCTTTAATGACTATGGATCTATTTCATTACAGTAATTCTATAGTTGTTGGTCTTATTCATATATTAATTAGTGGTACTTGATTTTACTATTTAATATTGTCTTGATATTTTACCTACGAACAATCATAAATAACAACAACAAGAATAATTGAATCACGTAAACCAAGAAGAATCAACACGAAACGCAATTAATCACAAGAAAACAAAAACAACTATGATTTTGAATTGTTTATTATATGATAATCAGACTCATATAATCTTTTTTCTCAAATTTATTTTAAATATCTTGCATTAAAAAAGAAGCTGAGATACAATATGCTCTAAATACCACAGTTAGAGATAAGAAAGAAAAGTTTATAATTCTATAATATTTCATTAACCAATGAAATTTAACATGAAATCAAGATTAAAGTTCTGATGTCTTTCTTTAAAACTAAAAGCAAACAAAAAGATTTAAAAATCACATAGAAAACATATTCTCATTAAGACTTGCCCATGTACAAAATCTTCTGTTGAAATTCAAAAAAATATTTGTTTTTCATGTTTTTGAAAGTAGCACAGCATTGAGCTTAGGAATCGTTCAACGACTGAAATCTTTCTCATGATATCCATAGCTCATGAACGACTAAATGATATTCGAAATCACAACTGAATATTTACTGAAAAATTTGAATGATTGTCCTTTTAGCTGTAACCAGCTGGAAAAATGTTCAGTTTATAAACGTCAATGGTGATCATAAAATGCTTGACAGCTTTCTCTTAACTACTGTTGTTTCATCTTTGAAGTATTCATGCAAATGAAATATTATAATTCATTGAAGCATTTAATAAAAAGATTCATTCATATGACATGAGAGATTAATAACAACAAATCTTGTCTGTCAATTGATTTCAAATATAGTAAGATGAATTTCTATATGAAGAATTTTTGCTTTACTAACAGACAATTTGTTTAGAATAGTCATAGTATCAAATCATATCTCGTTAATCATGATATGTTGAGACATATTAGTAAAATGATAGGCTATATTAGAAAAAAAACAATGATAACAGTTTTTCGATTTTTTTCCTCTCTCATTTATCTCAATGCGTATTTTTTAATTTCTTTCTAAATGCATATATGCTGGTCATCTAGTCTAATAGCTTGTACTTATTTTTAGTCACCAATTTAAGAGTATATGATATCTCTTTCAACAGTTTTAGTTGAAAATCTACATCGATCACAATCTGAAATGAGGATCATGAACAACAACAAAATATCAAGATATTAAGGTAAAAATTCATAAAAAAATTTGCGTCATTTTCTTTTTGCGCATAAGATCACAGATCTCTCTTTTTTTCTTTCATCATTATCAACATCGTAGGCTGTTGACATTTCATTATTTATTTATATTCTGTCTTATTTGGAAAGTATTCGCATATCCAAACATAATCTCGGCAACAATACGATGAATATAGGAATGGGGAATCAGTACAAATTATAATAACCTAGAAATTATATAAGCGACACAAGTATGTTTTGGTAAGATTTCTTACTTATATTCGATCAGAATGACATAGCCGAGATGATAATAGTATCAAACTCAAGCTCAAAATTGAGATATACATCATACAGTGATCGAGATTCATAAATATTATCAAAGTCTTTTTTTTGTCATTGTCCCTCATGTAAAGGATGCATCAATTGAATAAAAATATTGGATTCGATATGTATAATTCGAGATAGAAGATTACTGATTTTCGATTTTCTCATACAAATCTATCGAATGAGTTTTCATGTTGTTATTTTATGTAAATTTCTAGTTAATATTGTCATATGATCAAGTAAATCATTATGGCAGATATTTCAATCTCATTTATTGGACGTTTTTGGATTTACTTAATATCAAATATAGCATCAATTATTTGTTCTATATTTGTACTTTATTATTTTCTTTTCTGTCGAAAACTTCGTCAGAGTTTACATAATCATGTTGTTATTATTATTTTAATTATTAATTTCATAATTGAGATAACAGATATATCATGGATTCTTTATTATTATCGAAATGGCGTTGTTTTGATAAATACATCATTATTTTGTCGAATTTGGAAATTTCTTGATAGTTCATCATATGTAACAATAGCAAAACTTGTTGCATGGGCTTCAATTGAACGATATATTCTCATTTTTCATGGTACTTGGATGTCTACAAAAAAGAAAAAAATTCTTTTACATTATATACCTATCACGATTATTGTTATCTATGGAATCATTCTTTACATGATTATTTTATTATTTATTTCTTGTAAACGTTCATATTATTCTACAATATTATATTGTGGATATTCTAGTTGTGCTTATAATAGTACAGCTTATTCGATGTTTGAATTCATTACAGGTGGAATAGCAAATGCAATAATTATGGTTATATTTAGTATGATCCTTATAATTCGTCTTATAAAACAAAAGCATCGACTAAATCAACAACTCAATTGGCGTAAATATCGTAAAATGGCTATTCAACTTCTATCAATTGTATTATTATTTTATATATTCTATTTGCCTAGTGTTATCATAGGAATCTTATTTAATTGTGGTGTTCCATATAGCAATCTAAAAAATTTTTTAGTCTATGGACAGTTTTTCTCTTATTATATACATTTTTTACTTCCTTTTGTTTGTGCTGGAACATTACCTCATCTTAAAATGAAAATCAAAAATACACTAAGAATATGTCCTTTGTATAAACGTGGTACTGTTGAACCAATTCAAAATAGAATCCAACATGAAGCAATTGATCAAAATAGCAACTCTCATAGAAATTGTTGATTCATCAGAATGTCATGTTCAATTGATTAAGAAATGACAGAAAAAACTCTTATGAATGTTGTGTCCATATTTTTCATTTATCAAGTAGTTGCACATATTCCCCTTGTTTTGTACCTAAATGTGTTGTGTTTTAATCCTCATTAGTGTGTTTTTCAAGTCAAGTATATCACTTTGAACATTGGTAAATGTATCATACATATTAACAGAGAGAGAATCAAAATAGTTAAAAATTTGTTCACTCAATATATCAACATTGGTGCGTTTTGTTGCAATCCTAGTCGTAGTTCAGTGAGCAAAACTGATGTCTCGATAGTGAAAAATTGTAACAGTTGTATACCAAAAAGAATACCATACAAAGGAATTCTGATAAAGTAAACGTCTTTCAACTATCGATAATGATAACTGTACTTATTTATTATCTACGAAAAGAAATCAAAGAGAAATATATATGGTAGAGAGAAATGCAGGTCTAACTCGAAATATCAAGAACCTATTGTGAATATTTCATATACCATAAATCTATCAAAAGGCATGCATTTACGAAATAACAAATTAAGCTGATTTTATCTATATGTATCTCAGTATTCAGCAGAAATACATAGAAAAATTGAATTTGTTTCAATTGATCATTTTTCATTCCATTGCAAATAACTAAACCAATACACATTGCACTTGATTTTTCATGATTGAAGATTAGGACAAAAAGTAATCATCTAAGGAGGAATGGTTTTAAATCTACGCAATTAACTCAACATCTGTATACATTATTCTATAACCTCATTTCCAAGCTTTCAACTTGACAGGGTTATCCCCAAAAAACTTATCATGTTTTGTCTGTCACATCAACCGACAATCTTAGTCTTATTGTCATGAACAGATAAATTTCAAGTAATTCCTAAATCAAGAAAGTTCCATCTGAAAAAAGTAGCAAACAATTTTGATAGGGTGTGGGTGTAGATAAATGGAAGAATCCTATTTATACCCACCCCGCATGCTGTAGAGACAGCATAGTGTTATCGTTCAATTCTTAGCAGAAATGAGTGACATAATTCGTCTCAACAATATTTTCTTAATTGCAACAAACACTATACTAGATATCGTTGATCTAGCTTTGCTGAGACCCAGTCGTATCGAAACGATTATCGAAATTAAACCGGTGGATGAAGAAGGGTGGCTGCACATTTTTAACATTTACACGAAGGAATTTCTATGCAACAGCATTCTCAATGTGGACATTCAGAAAATCATTCACAGCGGGGCGGAACTTCAGCATCTAAGATACATCAATATCAGCGACGAAGAGATCAATGAACTTCGAGTATGCAATCAAGACTTCATGAATACATTAGTAACTATACTATCTTCAATATGGTTGTATACTATAAATATAGAAAACTTCGAATAAACATCTAAAAATAATCTTCTACTCAACAGATTTCTTTTGGGTCTCACGAAAACAATCACAGTAAGTTATAATGTATTAATAAATATCTTGTTCACAGAGTGAGCTCAACCAGTTCTGACTTTTGATCTAATGATCGGAATGGATCTGAACAAAAATTGAGTTTTAGCGTCTGTTACTAATGTTCTTTGAAAAACGATTTTCAAATCATATCCTTATATCTAACAAGAAAACAACGAAAATTCTGAAACAACAGAAGAAATTCATTTACAATCGAACGTTATTATTTAATATCTCAAATAGGGTGTGGGGTGTGGGTGTGGGTGTGGGGTGGGTGGGTGTGCGTGTGGGGGTGTGAGTGTGGATGTGGGTGTGTGGGGTGTGGGTGTGTGGGCGTGGGTGTGGGATGGATAAGGGGTAGATTTAACTCGCAACTACAGCCACACCCACATCCACATCCACATCCACACCCACACCCACACCCACACCCTACTATTGAGCATGAAACGATAGTACCGACTTGGAATTGGGTGAAAAGTTTGCCACAATTATTTATTAAAGTATCTGAAATATTTCTATCTCTCAAAAAAGGTTTTCTTCCTAAATGAATGTTCAAAGATTCAAGCATAGCTTCTCTTCAATTTCGTTCATATGATAATTCACTTTTTAAAATCATTTTTCTTGTCTTAATATTTTTTCACAGATGAATGAAAAAAGATAGAATAAAACACTATTAGCAGAGTTGATTATTTAGCTTTAATAAGGCACGAGTTGTCCTTGTGAATTGCACATTTTCATATTCCTTCCGTCGAGTGCCAATGGTCCTTGAATCGAACTAATTTTTGCTTTCACAGCTTTTGGACAATTACTACTCAAACTTTTATATTCGCAGTTGAAGACAGCTTTGTTTGCTAAAACAAAAGAAAAAATTCGTTCAATATCTTTGATCTCAAAAATATTCTATTTAATGATTTAGTTATAAGATCGAACCTTGGATAAATGGTTGAAGTGTATCACATTCATTATATTGCCAACATTGTTCATTGAGAGCCCAATCAAAATAGTGAACGAGGTCTTTGATCTGTTCTACGTCATTCTTCAGTCCAACCGACAAATCGCGCGCATGAGACTCATTTGCTATCCAAATATTGTACTTGATCTGATCACTATAGGTCAATGAAAAACCTCCTCCATTGTTATCACTCGTATAGGCGTCAACATTGTCTGGTTCGACACCGTCGCATCCTTTCATCTTTGCCAAATCGAGGCGAGCACGCATTATTGGACCCAAAATGTCGATACGACGAATGTCTAACCACCACTCACCTTCCCTGTTTTTAGGAAAAAAGTACAGCACAGCTAAGAAAAGATATTGACACTTACCAGCCTTCTAGTTGGTTACCCTTGACCGAGGCAGGGAAGAGATTTTTGTCTGGACGCCAATCCTCATAACTTCCAGCACTGTAATATGAGCAGAAAAAAAATTCGTTGTATATCAGACATGTTTGAATACTATTCACAATCGGTAGACTGTTTTTATTCGTCATTAGTAATGTTAATAGTCTTCAATAGAAAGTGAACTCAATACCTGAAATAGCAAATGACTTTTTTGCCAGCTCGTTTGAGTTGAGTGATGGTGTCCACCGGTGTATCCCACAGATCAATGTCATACATGGCAACATTCTTCATTGTATTGATCTTTCCCGACAATTGCCAGGTCCAATTGGTGAGAGGAGTCGGTTTCCAGTAACATTCGACAGTTGAAACAATCAGTAATAATGATATAAAAGTTATTGCACTCATATTTCTCCTTCGATTTATGTCTTTCCACTTTTCTACAAACACAGAAACATAAAATTAAATAGACCATATTTCACATCGTTGCTACGTATGTGTTCTTTTTTGTTGTAAGACAAGAAATACTTCTATGTTTATATAAGTCTCTCAATCGTAAATCAATCTCTGCCGAAGCATAGCTAATGTATTCATCTGTTGTCTAAGTGTGGTCGCATGATATATATATATAAAGTTCTGCAGTAAGAGACTTTGATGACCTACACGCTTCACTATATGTACATGTTGCACACGCTACTGGTTCTCTTCATTACGCTTATGTTGTTATTTAATGTGTGATGAAAAATACACAGAATATTGCAGGTACTCATACATATTCAGTTATTCATCGAGCATATCAATATACGATTGATTTGAGTGTGAAATCAGACTGACGGAAACGTTGTGATATTTTTTTTTGTCTTTGATTCGTCATCTCAATCGTTTTCACTCTTCTTTCTCACTTGTATGTGCTTTCAGTTTGATCTATGTTTTATATTCAAAATAATGGCGAAAAAAAAGCAAACTATCAACGTTTTTAACTAAAAAATGTTTGAAATTGGTGCATCGAGAATAGTTGATAAATCAAATGTTCGAAAGAGAGTTCAGTTGGTCAATGTGAAGCCAGAAAACAAATGTTCTTTCATAAAACTTTCAAGCAAAAATTTACTTTCTATTAGACTTTCTTACTCTCAAACAACTCATCGGTTGTTTTCATTCTGCTTTTTGATACGAGACAAATATGAATATTTAGACCGATGAAAGAGAGAAAGAAAATATTTGTCGTTATTGGTCGGTACTGGAATAGATTGTTTTACCGCTTGGATCAGACAGAGAGTAAGCCATATCAATGAAGGTTATTCAATGTCAATGAATGTTTGTCTATCTGAAAGTTATTCACTGGAGTTATTTTAGAAAGAGACTTTTCATTTGTGAAAGACATCTGCAAGCTCTACAACTCATCTATCTTCGTATTTTGAACACAAGTATTGACCAATTATCTGAATAAGTCAAGAAGACTGATCGAACGATTCTTTGGAAAAATAGCTTAAAAGAATGATAGCGATATTTAAATAATTCTATTCGAAGAATAGGCTGTTTCATTTGCTCCACACAATAGTCGTTACAACCATTGAACTGTTCGACTATCTTTAATGATATTTTTCTTTTATTAATCAACTGATGTCTAAAAATGAACTGTTGCATGAACTCTTTTACTTATCTAATCTTTATGAATCGCTACTATTCGACGCCATTCGATTAATTCGATTAGAAAGAGCCGACATCAAACAAGTTAAGAATCGAGTTCAAAAAATATATTTTGAAAACGTTCAACGCATTTCTTTCACAATCTGGCGTCGATCAAGATGCGCAGTCAATGTTCGAGATTTCTTATTTTGAATATCGTTTTCAAACTATTATTACTAATCCAATAGCAGAGGAATTCGATCAAAGCAAAAACCTAGAAGATGAATATAATCGCATATTGGATGTGAAGCGGGGCAACTTTTCCCGCTGACTCCATTCACTTCTCACACTCACATCCTCCATTGTTCTCCAAACGGTTGATCTAAAATTATTTCAATTACTTACACTAAAAGACAATTCTTTTGAATTCGATGTCAAGATTCACTTTAGTTTTATTTTAATTTCTCTAAATTGATTTCTTTCAAAACCTTTTCTTTATACTAAGGAAGCGAGTTACCGACCGACTGTGATGCGACAGAGTTTTGAATCTAACATTATAACTATTTTCAATTATGTC